CCTTGATCCTGATCGGAACTCCAGGACACAAGTATAAACCTATAGTCAGATAGACTTAGGATAAATGTGCATTTCTTCTAAAAGGCTGTACTTACAATTTGTTGCCGAAGTAATAAAAGATCACGATACTGTGTATAATACACACCAGAAACAAACACAGCACTATTCAATTTGGCTACAGAATATCTGCAACTATATTTGCTGTTGGGCTTTGTTCCTGAATTTTCCTTCAAACTTTGCTACTTTATTGAATTTCTCTGATTTCGCTTTATATCCTGAACTATTTTTATTGGACTTTTCACAGTAATTATTGTTCTACCAATACAAGCGTACACTCCCGACAGTATCACCTGAGTAGTTCATCAGGATAGTTAAGTTTCCCTTTATTATAAGTCCCCAACCCTGTAATCCCCATTGGAAAATAAATAACTATTTAATAAGTGTATAATAGAGAGGCTTCTGTTGTTTTATTTGTGGCTATATATTAACATCTACCAATTGAGCCTGCGCGTAACTGGAACCCAAGCCCCCACGATAAGTTAAGTGACTATTTGCTTACTTATAGTAGTGGTCACCCACTACATATATTTGATGCAATTGTTTTTATTAAGTGTACTGACTTTGACATATTTAGACTTATACTGTATGCTATTTCCCACACTTCCTTATCATTATCATACTTTTACTTAGTATAAAACATACTCCAAATAAAGTAAGACTAGTCATTTTGATTCAATATTTCGATCTTTTATTAGATCATCATCAGGAATGAATAAAGATTCCAACATTACAAACAAATATTCCAGAGGTGTTACAGATCTTTTGTTTTTTCTATTATTGTTTATTGGGATTACTTATTTCGGCGGACTAGTAGAAGGCTTTGTCCACCACATTTGCATACTTTGTTGTTGTAGGACCTCCCCCATCAGTTTTTGTTGTATATTATGATTGTTTCTTATCCCATTTGTACAGTCTCCTTATGAAGTCAACTGCGTGGATGAAAGCTAGAGAATAAATTCTACAGTATATTGTTAGTCTCAAAAGTGCTGTTGTCATTTATTCCATATTGTTCTATAACAGACTAACGCGTCAACACTTTTTATTCATCATGATACCTTCTTTAATGTTCTTTGTTCTAGCAGAGCCTTTCTTTGTCTAGTTAATTAATATACCTTACTATATCCTGTGTCCCTTCCACCCCCTGTAGTCAATCCTTTTCAAACTTCTATATTGAACCCACATGGTAAACTATTCTTGTAGATAAGATAACTCTTCTATTTATGTGCCTGCTTTTGTATTATCCAAGAGTCTTGAATTGGTGATTGCAGAATAAACATCTCAACTTTCTGACATACACATTGTTGTACTGACTCTGTGTGTTATAGTATGTTTTACTTATAGTCTATACCCGTTACATGTCTTTTTTGCCAAGTGACAAAGTCCACACATATTTATAGGGGTCTACCATTATTATTCTAATTATGTATGTACGGAAATAGACAAAAATACTACAGAAATTTATCATAGGCCTAGATCCATAAACAAATAGGATTTTTCCATCAGGATTATTTGGTTTCATTGTCCCTAGACAACTCGTACTTGTCAGATTACTGATAAACTATTGTGAAAACTAAGAAAAATCTTAATCCCATCCAATTTGTTTGAAATTCCACAGCTGTACTGGCTGAAATTTTGAGCAGCCCATATCTTGCAATCAAGGCAAATTATTAGGTGCTACAGAAATTTTTTATTTACTACGAAAATCTGAAGACATATTAACGGAAGTGCATTTTACGAATGCCAGTCAATTCAAGTGAATGTCAATTCGAGCATATGTCACTTCAAGTGGATGCCAGTTCGAGTGGACATTTAGTGCGAACTATAACAAGAGCAAATTTATCGTCGCCCTATTCTTGTATTTGTGAGTGAAATAGTACATTTCATTTGTTTTAAATGCAAAAATGCACTGTGCACTAAAATTCTGAAATGTTTTTGGTATTTTTGATAATTATTCCATGTTTGAATTACAGTCTTGGCAAATCCGACTACTGCTAACAAGCAAGCCTAGTCCTATATTTTAAAACTATTGAATTGTGCACATTTCATTCTGAATTCACGGTTTTTGTCTACAGTTGGGGTTTTGTATGTGAAAAAGAAAATTATACTTGTAATTGAATTATGTTGTAATTGTATTTGTAGTCCCTAAATTTACAATTTATATTTGTAAATGGGAGTAACTGTAATTGTAATTTTTATTCACCATAGAAATTTAAATTATGTCTAGAGCGTGTCAGAGAGTGCACAAATCATTGGTGTAGTTTGACAAGACTATCAACAGAAGTACAGTAATAATGACAGACATGACATCATATCAATTTTTCCCACTATTCACCGTTCGTCTATACAAAACCCTTTCTTAAAGCTAAGTGGAAAAAATACATAACAATTACGAATGACTATGCTAAGATAAATCATTAAGAACGTAGGTATGTTTAATTTTAAATTGTTATCCTAAAAATCAATTAAATACGACTTCTCATAAGGCTATAGGCTTCATCTCCCAGAACCCACCAGGAATTTTCCGTTGGCTCCCAGGCAAAGATTGAGTCTTGGCCGAACGCAAATTGTTAGCTCAAAATAGGACATTTTTAAGTAATTCGTACAGAACTTGGACAGGTTGTTTTTCGCACAGGTGGATCTTTTTCTGCTCTAACTAGCATCCGCTCGAACTGGTATTTGCTTGAAATGGCATCTGCTTGAATTGACTGATTCCCCATTTTACGAACTTGAGAAGTCTGCCTCTGCCTGTGCTGGAAAACCAAGATCAATTTTCCCAGCTTCCCTGGTTAGACCAAGGATGGATTACAGTACCCCAAGTACTGTGTAGAGTAGAATGCCATCCGTACGCTATGTGTAGCGCTTAGAGGCTTTGTGCATGAAGTGCTACATAAGAACGACATATTATTATTATTATTAATTATCTCAGTAATGATGATAAAGGAGGTTAGGATTGGCAACGGCTAGGGACACTCACCATTACCGAGATAGCGTACAAACCATCATGATACTTTATGATGATGGTGAAATTGAGTACAACACATACATTGTGTTTGCAAAATAAAACTTTTCAATTCATCAATTGCTTTTCATTATTTGTCTATACAGTATATAGGCCTATATAGGCCTAAACCACTCTATTTTCAGGTTTAATGTTACTTTGTTCGGCTTCAGGCCATTACAAAAAAGAGGTTTTCTAGCCAAGATGGTAGGCCGGGCCGCAACGTTCTATTTTCAGACCGTAACAAACTGCCGGCCCACTCTCGGACCACATGGCCCGTGGGCCGCACTTTTTTGACCACCTGTCCCTGATTATCTTTCTTAATCTTAGGCCTAGCTAGGCGGCTTAAAGAATTCGAATAATAAAACAGTATTTACCATATTGGGGTCTTTTACAATCGATGCATATAACCAGTATAATGACGTCCTAGACATGTTGGCTTCGTTCGAGTGAACTGTTGGAAAACTCCTTCTTATATCAAATCATGAATTATGAAGTTGACAAAACTAGTGAAACTTAGTTTAGCTGATTATTTAGGGATTATTTATTGTTGTTTGTGTAGCGCTCTCTACGGTTGGGACATGTCGCCAAATATTCATATTTTTATCAGAATATTGGTAAAAATATGGCTTACTGTAGAAAAGAAAACGAAAGGATTACGACCCAACGTTTACGGTTTATGACTATTTAATTTAATTGAAAATTCAAAACTTAAGTAAAGCAAACATCACAATAATAATTAATATCGACATGTAAAAAATATAATATTAAAATTTTACTATGAATTTGTCTTGGACACTTTGAAGGTTGTAAGTCAAAATTATTGTTAAAGGTAAGTTATAATTCTGCTGTAACTCATTCTTAGGTCCTTTAAAGTACAATTATAAAGAATCTATGTCATCATCATATAAAGCAGGCCAAAAACCCCTATTAAGGGGAAAATTTCACGTTTCCGGCTAGTGTCCCCAAATAGGGGGCGGGTGTCCCTATAGGGGTTCTACTGTACTACAGATATTTAGATTTGTGTTAATTTACCAAACCCCAATATTTCATGAAAAAATGAAAACAAAAGTGCAAATGTCGATATATTGAATCCCAACACGATGGCGTGTATTTCAATACTTGGAGTATGTATTATACTTTCTTATCTGAGATTAATCAGTGGACCTTTCGGTTTTTGTATTGTATATTTTTCTAGATGATGTATTTTTTTTTTTAAACTAAACTTTAAACTATTTTAATAACTATTTCTTAAATAATTTTGATGTTGACAATGTTTGTAGTTGGTCACTCTCTTGTAGATGTTCCTTTTGTAGAGAGTAGTTGTTCTGGTTCTGTACTGTTTTGGGTTGACCAACCTGCATAGGTGTTTAGCACCTGTTTGGTCTTTCCTTGCCATGTTTTTTGTAAATTTGTTTGTTGTTTTGTGCTTGGCAGAAATTTGAATAAATAAAATAAATAAATTTCTGATGATGCTTTAAGAATGAAAGCGAAAAGTAGAATACTTATGGCCTTGCCATATTTTGGAGTGATACACTAATGTAACTTAAATTTGGTGTTTGAGAAAGATTGATAAATTTTATATTGCTTGTATTGCATACTATTATTTATGACCTGTCATCATCATCATCATTATCACCAATCATTTTTTTTTTCTTTTTTGGAGTGATACACTAATGTAACTTAAATTTGGTGCTTGACAAAGATTGATAAATTTTATATTGCTTGTATTGTATACTATTATTTATGACCTGTCATCATCATCATCATCATCATCATCATCATCATCATCATCATCATCATCATCATATCGTCATCATCATTATCACCATTTTACATCATCGTCATGCCATGATCATGTTATGAGAGTGTCCTATTATTATGGCCATGGTCCGGCTATGTTATTAATCTGCAGTGCAGTGGTGGCTCTAGGATATATTTCCTGGGGAAGAAGGGGCTGAGATGTCCGACAGGGGGACTTGAGCTCGTAGGCTCGTAGGTTTTATA